CAAAGGAACCTTGTCTCAAAAAAACAAAAACAACAACTACAATAAAAAGATCAGGAATTTAAAATCTGTTGTGATGTATTAACTAATTCACATCCCATATTCAAATTCCAACAATTATTGTAGTAACACTCCTTTGAGTATTTCTTGCTTTCAGCATCATTCATTGCGCGCGCGCGCGCGCACACACACACACACACACACACACACGGCACGCACGCACGCACGCGCGCGCATGCTCATATGGGCTGGCGTCTTTCAGTCCAAAACCAAAAAAACCAACTGTCCTCACATAAATTTGGATCCACTGATCCTTCAGTTTGCAAAAGAGGGTAGGAGGCTTAGCACCCTATTGCCTTTGTGGTGACTGATTACCAAGTTTCACTTTCCAGAAGCTTCTCCGTGTTAAGTGTGTGTGTGTGTGTGTGTGTGTGTTGAGGGGGGTAAAGCGCGAGCGCAGTTGGAGCCACTTGTCACCCGCCACAGTAACTTAGCACTCCTGGGACGCTGAGCACGCACTACTGTAAGACTTTAGAGATGGTACCAGGTTGGACCACTGGCTATGTTAAGCAAGGACCTTGGAGCCAAGAGTCTGCCGGTCTTTGCTGGCTCGGTGGATAAGTTATTCAGGAGGCTTTCCCTGGCTGTCTTGCCTTCTGAACTGGAGCAGCTTGCCAACAAGCGCGGGCATATGCCTGCTGCCCTCTGGTGGCAGACATCTTTACGTCGTGGGAAAGGATGTGAGCAGCTTCACAGGCCGGGCAGCTTCTACTTCAGACCTTTGCTTCTGCTCTAGCGGTTGGTGCTCTGAGATCAAGGCGTTCCAGGACCTCTCTCTGGTTTTCCCTCTGTGCGTCTGCATTCTAAGCTCTTCCCATGAGGACAGCAGCCATGGAAAGGCACACCCTGTTTGCATCAGTTATTAATCGTCCTTTAGCAGTTACGTCTTTAGGTCCCGTCTCCAAGTGAAATCACATTCTTAGAGGGTCAGGAGTTAAACATGTGAGGCTTGCTGGGGTGAGTGGGCCAAGGGAGGCACAATTTAGATCATAGCAAGCAAGAAGGATATGTGAGGGATTCTTCAGAATAAATCAATCATTAAAAAACAAAACAAAAAAGGCTAATAAACATTTAAGAAAAAGTGTTCAACATCATTAGCCATCAGAGAAATCCAAATTTAGATTACTTTTAGATGCTGCCTCATTCAAGGCCTAATAGTATTATTAATAAATCGAATTTACGTTTTAAAGAGCACCACCCCTTTCTGTCTGTTAGTAGGATGCTTCTTATTTGGGATTTCCTGGATGCTTTTTCACTTGCTTAGGGTGTACCTGAGTTATCCAAACCCTAACACAAGCATGAAAGAGATGCTTCCTGTAACTATTCTGGGATAAGGAATATGAACGTGCAAAAGTGTGGTGACCCTGTAGTATCGTAAGTGGTTATTTCCAGTTCTCACTGCTCACGCCCAGACCAGCTTGCTTACCTCACTTAGTAAAGCAATGGGTTCAGAATTTAACCTTGTGTCTATTTGATTCTAATACTCATTTTCCACCCACGCCCCAACCAAAAACTAGTGTCTTTTATTTATTTTTAATTTTATTTTAATGGGCATTGTCATTTTGCTTGTGTGTATGGCTACACAGCTTTCTGTCTGTGTGATGGTGTTAGATCCCTGGAATTGGAGTTACAGACAGCTGTGAGTTGTCATGTGGGTGCTGGAAATTGAACCTGGGTTCTTTGGAAGAACAGCCAGTGAAGGTTCTTAACCAGTGAGCCAAAATTCATCTACCCCACAGAATAATCCCACTGGAGAAAAATATATTGCAGAAATATAACAAGGGAGAAAGCATTGCTCCCGTTGAATACAGTACAGCAAGCATTTTAAAGTCTCTAATATATATGTGTGTATATGTGTAGATGATGCATTCCTATATGTGTATAAATGGAAATAGATGATGAATATGGTGATGATGATGATGGTGATGATGCACTTGGAGTTAAATGGGGCCAAGTAATTGGCTTTGAGCAGTTCAATGATATTGTCTGGATGTGTGCAAAGCCAGACCATGCTCTCATTCTTTCTCTAAGATGAACAGCAGTACTGAAAGCCATTAGCTACATCAGTGAGCACGCAGGGCCCAGGCTAACCTCAGAATGATGCGTCTAACAATAGTAAACACCCCTGACACTGGGGCCTGGTTATCACAGCATAGACCAGCTCACATGAGTTGATTCACTATTGTCCTGGTTTACTTTCTGTTGCTGACTAACAGCAGCTTGGGAGGAAGGTCACAGTCCACCATGTCTTATATCTTGACAGGAGGGATTTCACCTTACTCAGACATTAACTGAGTAGATGCGTACATCATCATCTCTGGCTAATTAGCAGATAGTCTGAAAAGTACTTGGTGTACGGTAATAAATGGGAGCGATGCTTTCTTCTTTGTTGCATTTCTGGGACATATTTATCTCCAATGAGATTTTTCTGAGGGGTAGATGGAATTGGTACTGACGCCCAAATCCCTGTGGTCTGAGCGAGCCACCCCAGCCTTCATTCATTTGTATGTGTATATGCCCTCCTGTGCGCATATGTAAGGAGGCCTGAGCTCAACTCCAGTAAGCTAGCCGGCTGGAGAGCACCCTAGATCTGCTTGTTTGTCCCCCACTCCCAGCAGTGAGGTTACAGAGATGAGGTAACATCACATTCTCTGTTTACAAGGCCATGGTGTGTGTGTGCGTGTGGTGGGAGAAACCACGGGCTTTCAGGCTAGCAGAGAGCACTCTATTTACTGAGTCATCTCCCCAGATCCCCACGTAACTGCCTGCCGTCTTTGACTACCTGTGACCCTGTAATTTACCCAAATAGCAGGATGTGATTGGACTTGCTGCAAAGGAAAGCCTGGATGAGCCTGCTTGACTGGGCCTCTGACTGCTAACTCAGAAGGACAAGAGGTGTGTTGGGGACGGAGCTGTCTCAGCCCAGCAGGAGCCCTGAGGCTAGAAGAACCATTCAGCTGAGCTGGGGGCCCAGAGATGGGTGATAAATGCATGTCATTGCATGGCACTTCCTTTAGTGTGGTTTGTTCTCTAGCAACGGCTGACTAACACATGATATCAAAGGCTGTGGATGATTTATAGTACTGGTTACGTGTGGAGTTTGCTCTCTGGGAAGCCGGAAATCAACTCACCATGTTACCAGCAGTGTGTGGGAAACCTTCAAAAATACTCACATGCCCTCCTCCACTTGACCATGGTAATTTAATGGCTTAAGGAGAGGGAGGGAGGGAGAAAGGGAGGGAGGGAAGGGAAAAGAAGGCAGAGAGGGAAGGAGAGAACAAGAATGAATGACTTTGCCACCCACATAGAGATCACCCACATAGAACATTTCTTTGTTCCAGAAGGAACGCTTTACTATTCAGCCTTCTTGGAGTGATAATAAACGAAACAAAGATCTGAGTGATTTTTCTCTATTTTTAATAACTGACTTTAATTTGTAGCATAATTATGTACATGTACCATCCATATGGTTGGTAATATGTGGTATTGCCAATCCTTAATTTAAAAGGGACCAGTCCTTTTGCTAATGCTTTTTCAATTGTGTGTGACATGCAATACCCGGCTTGGCACGTGGTTAAGAAAATGTGAGCATGCGTGCACATATATGCTGTGGCCAGAGGGGGGCATTTAGGGTCTCCCTCCAAGGGTGTCTCAGGGAACTGAAAGTTTGCTCTTCTCTGTCAGCATGTCTCCCTCTCCAGCGCTGGGGTTACAGGCCGCTCAGCCATGCCCAGCTTTTTGTGGGCGCCGAGGATTTGACTCAGTCTTCACGATTGTATGGCAGGCGCTCTTACCCACGCAGTTACCTCCCTAGCCTCTGATAATGATTTTTAAATATTTCAGTATGACAAATATTTATAGCCAGGAATAGTCTCATCAAACAGTTCATTTTATCCCCTTCCTTCCTTCCTTCCTTCCTTCCTTCCTTCCTTCCTTCCTTCCT